AACATCTTGCCCAGAGGCCTCAACATCTCCAGAAGCAGACCCTTCCATATCTCCCATCTGTCCCTGTGTGGTAGTATCCTGAAGTGATATGTCTGGGATAAAAGTGGAAGGCTCAGTCCCTCCAACCTCTGTCTCATCAGTCATCACACCTGACAGACTGGCAGATGGGGTTGGAAGCGCACCATCTGCAGAACCCTCCCATGGAGTGCTAGCCTTCATGTCCTCATATATGGAGGTGTCACCAGGAAGGACGGCATCTGATAGTGTGGTAGATATAAATGAGAACATGGGTATATATGTGGTGGCAGCTGTTGCATCATCTTGTACTTGAGTTTTGAATCCTTGCAAGTCTGTTGGGACATCATCACTGGTCTCTTTATGTATAGCATCTGTGCTTGGGTCCGTTTCTTTCCACTGAACTTCCTCCTCCAGAAACCGGACGGGTGTAGCTGTTTCCAATTGATCCCTTAGAGCCTCCTCTGGAAGGTCTGGCTCTAACGATATCTGTATGGTTTAGAACACAAAAACAATTACATAAAGCAGAATGAGTAACATCTACTTTAAGACCAGATTATTCATAATCATCGACTGGGTCTTGTTTTTGTAAGTACTTTCATTGCATTTTCATTCATTTCATCCATCCCATTTAATTAATTATTATTGATGATTAGTTTTCTTGATGACTCAAAGGTTCCTAAATACTGTTGGATCAAAGTAAACTATTAAATATATTAACAGTTCTTTTACCAGTTTTTACCATCAACTATGTTGACCTAGAGTTCAGTAACATTGTTTGGCTAGTATGACTGGTTTTCTACTTTGTAATTCATGTGGATAATCGGGAGGTAAACTTTGACATAACACTATTAAGACATAGAAGCATTATGGAAGGAGTCCAAGTCCTCGATACACGTCCCTTCCCATGCCCCACCAACCTGGCAAAGAGCAGGTTTGTAAGATGATAAGTCAGGCAACGGTCAAGACAACAAATTACTGTCGTAATTTCCGACAGGGACGACAAACTCTGACATATTTTTTGCCCTCCAACTCCCAAGTTTCTTGGTTTGGGCGTTTTAGAGGTTTATAGTCAACCTTTGCCAAGCTTTATACTGAGCTTCTGGATTTTATTCACAGTGGAGGTCTGCAGAAGACAACCGTCAACTTTGGTGTTATTTTGGTTTTCCAAATCACTGGAAAAAGTTGAATGATAAACTTCGAAACAGGTAATAATAGGGGAGGAAAAATAATCAAAGTAAATAAACCAGAGGTACCCTTCTCTGCTAGGAGAAAGAATATGCTACTTTGCATCTGTGTTCCTTTGTTTCACTGGGCTCCGACCCTTAATAATGTATTGATTTCATTTTAGTTGACTATGTGGATTATTAGTTGAAATATTTGCATCTATACATAAAATGCATATGTAAGTATATTAACAAGTAGTAAAGAAAACAACAGTTTTTCTTTTAAAACTTGATTTGGAACTTCTTAAATGAACATGCGGCCTGGAATAAAAAAAATATAGTGTGACTAAATACTCCTCTGTACCTCATGGTTTCCGTTGACGAAGCTGATTGTTGTAGGCATGGCGATAACAGATGACTGAAGGGGCTCAGACACTCCACTCCCCAGGTCAGCCTCATTACTCACCTGCGTGAGGTCACTGATGCGGAAAAACAAAGACTCAGAGCCATTCCCAGGCTCATTCAGCATTTTCAGGACTTGGTCCACTGGAGACAGATTAGGCACACAATTAAAAATAAAAATAAAGCAAACCCACTACAATATATATATATATATATATATATATATATACTAGAATGACCACTAACGGACCTATGTAAGATTTGTGGTCACCATCAAGTCAAGTGCTTTGCCTATCACTGTTTGCTATTTACATACATATCAAAGCCACACTTTGTTTAACCCCTTGGCCATGTTGTATGCTGTGGAATCAGTCCAAAAATACATAGTAATTCCCTTATTTTACCTAAATTAAAATATAATTTACAGTATATCATGAAAACAGAAGACAACAGTATGTTGTAATACTGTATACTTATTATCAAGCCCGGTGAAACATTTGCTAACCCTAACCCTAAACCATTCACTGTATAAGTTTTATTTCCAGTCAATGGTCCATGCTCACTGCTTAAGCTTTAGGCCAAAATCATATATGAATTGAACCTTTGAAGGCTTTCCTTTAAATGCTAGTAGGCTGATATTCAACCCTGTGATAAAATAAGCAATTGCGCTAATCATTTTAGCCAGAATATCCATCCATTATCGTTGCCCGCTTCTTCCTTTACGGGTCGTGGGAGTCTGTAGTGCCCAAGTCCAGCAATCACTGTGCGAGAGGTGGGGGACACCCTGGACAGGTCGCATATTATTCACAGGGCCAGATAGAGACAAATGAGACAACCAACCATTCAGTCTCTCACAATGGGCAATGGGGACAATTTAGAGTTACTAATCAGCCTAACATGCATGTTCTTGGGTCTGTGGGAGGAAACCGGAGTACCCAGAGAAAACCCACACATGCACAGAGAGAACATGCAAACTCCACCCAGAAAGGTCCCTGACTGGGCTTTTATCTGGGGGCCTTCTCGCTAAGAGGCAACAGCTACCAACTGAGCCACCGTGATGCCCTTAACCAGAACAGCATACCTAAATTATACTTAACATGTCTATTTAGTGGGCAGCACGGTGGCGCAACTGGTAGAGCTGCTGCCTCTCAGCGAGTAGGTCCCTGGTTCAAACCCCGGTCCAGGGGCCTCCTGGGTGGAGTTTGCATGTTCTCTCCGTGCATGCGTGGGTTTTCTCCGGGTGCTCCGGTTTCCTCCCACAGACCAAAAACATGCATGTTAGGCTGATTGGTAACTCTAAATTGTCCCTAGGTGTGAGTGAAAGTGTGAATGGTTGTTTGTCTCGTTTGTCTCTATGTGTCCCTGTGATGGACTTGCGACCCGTCCAGGGTGTACCCCGCCCCTCGCACAGTGATTGCTGGACATGGGCACCAGCGACCCCCATGACCCAAAATGGAATAAGCGGGTAAAGATAATGGATGGATGGATGGATGGATGTCTATTTAGTTCAGCCAGAGCTCTGCTATCAGTATCTTGACAATAGTTATTTGCAATTAGACTAATAACTGTGATTTATATAAAAGTTTTTTTCTTCATAATTTTGGAAACATGTAGGCCTTCACAGTTTGAGCATATTAGCTTTTGTCAACCCTATACTGTACACCAATTCACTGTTATTTATCATATATCTCTTACTCATAAAATAGGTAATGCAGTTATTATCTTTATGTATTAACATTCCTCCCTAGGGAGGTGCTTTGGGCATGTTTGACTGGGAGGAGACCCCGGGGAAGACCCAGGACACGCTGGAGAGACTATGTCTCTCAGTTGGCCTGGGAATGCCTTGGAATCCTCCCAGAAGAGCTGGAAGAGGTGGCTGTGGAGAAAGATGTCTGGGCCTCCCTGCTCAAGCTGCTGCCCCCACAACTCGACTTTGTAACAAGTAGAAGATAATGGATGGATGAATGGATGGATGGATGGAGTTATAGTTAACAGATTTTTCACGTTTTATCATATCAACCTATCACATTTTCCAATAAACACCAAATCATGCATTTTATTGCTGCAAGACATGGTTTTGAAAAGTGAGGACAATAAAACATTTCCCACTTCATAATGCCATCTTGTTTGCAACACTTAAAAGGCTCGAGCAAAACAATGAACTTGTTTCAGGAGACATTTTTGACCTATTGTTCATGTAAAAACAAAGTAAAGCACTAATGTAACGGTTGTTGTTTCAGAATATTCCCAAACATTTTCTCTTTAAGGACAGGTCAGGATGGCAGGGTTAGCTCAGTATCTGCACCCTCTTTTTTCCTCAGTCATGGTTTGTGTTGTGTCCAGACCAGTTTTACATGGTCTTGTTTGCCATAAAGTTGCACAGGAAAGTGTTCCTCTTGTCACTGCACTGCAACAGCTGAAGTTTGCCTACTTCATGAAGGCCTTAAAATAATTCAATACATTTTAAAACGCCTTGGTTTCATACTTTGATGCACCTTAAACAAAAGAAAAACAATCACTTCCCACTTATTTTCCATCTC